TTTCTGTCAAAGCAGCTGATTAAGAACTTCGAATTTCACTATTTTAATTGGCAACACCGTTGATAGTTACGATCGGATTACAGCATACCAATTTTCGAATTTTCGGAACGGAGCTACGAATTCGTGACTACGAACTTTCGGATTACAGCATAGGGGTGATGATTAATTCAAAAAATTCCTAAAAAAATATCAATGCAATGTAGAATAAAAATATGGCATAGGAAATAGGAAATATGCAATAGGAAATTTCTTTAGAATTTAAAAAATTTAAAATTTTTGGATTCACAAGGACGAATCCCTGGATTTTCGATACCTTAAGTCTCGGGATCCCGGGACTAACATTCCTAGTACATAAGTGTGCATGTATCTTTGTATGAATGAATGTGTGCGGCACTCCATGCCAAGTTGACTAAAAAATCTGCAGTGCTCTGATGCGCCAAGACTGATTCCCTTGGCCGACTGCACAACTTACGCGCTTTGTTCGCGCTACTAACTACAAGTAGTAGGTACTTAAATTTTATTGTTATTTTTGCTTTTCTGTTTTTATTATTATTTAACAGAGAAGGCACATACATATCAAGCCCTAACCGCCAAAATAATATTCCCAGAGCATCCAGATTCATTTCTGCATCAAAAATAAAACTTTGAAAAAAGAAATGTTGCTTACGTTATTTTAGTGTTTAGGGCTCGATATTATTAAACAAGAAGTAATGTCCCTTACGCATTTATGTATGGTATAAACATACTGTAAATAACAGCGGAAGTTAATTATAGATTTTAAAATTCTTACAGATTTCTCACTTAAATGGCAATGATTTCAGAGTTTCACTGAAGATTATATATCCTCATGAAAATACACCGCTGCAAATATATGTGCATAAATATGTAAATATCCGTTCATATAAGTAAATATACATAAAATATATATAAGTAAATATAGATTCATCGGATTGGAAATAAAGCGATCACTCCCATTATTGATTTTTTTCTTGATTTATGTCCATAGGGTTTACATATGAAAACCCTACGTCTACTCCTTCTAATTTTCCCCAAAAATTTATGGAACTGAACCACTGTGCGCCGTAATAAGGGACGTGGGCGTGAATAGCTTCCGATTTGGTTCTTTTTCCGGACCAACCTACCTTGTATACAGAGCAATCAGTTTCATTGGGATATGGGCAATTCTAAATTAGTTCGAATTCGCGTGACACGACAGTTTTTATATGGATACAAAACTTTCGTTGGATTATTAACAAACATCAGGTTACATATCGAGCCCTAACCGGCAAAATAACGTAAGCGACATTTTTTTTTATTTTTTATTTTGATGCAGAAATGCATCTAGAATATTTCTATCTTATCTTATCTAGGAATATTTCTGCATCAAAAAGAAAATTTCGAAAAAAATGTCGCTTACGTTATGTTGGCGGTTAGGGCTCGAGGGGTCAAATGAAAGAGTTTGGGGTATGTATGCTAGCACTTACCCTTGATTTTTGGCAATTTATGTTCGAAAATTTTGTATATGAGAAAAAAATCGGAGCACCCCTAAAATTGCCAAAGATCAGAGGTAAGTCCAAGATACCTAAAATTTGCACTTTACTTTACTAAAATTTGATGGGCTACAAACATTTAATGCCAAAATTTTTTCTAAAGACGCTGATCAAGAAGTTAGAAGTTTTGTTCAAAATTTGCAGAATTGACATAGTTTTTTCACAAAGTCAGAAATATGAATTTACATCGTCTGTGTTAAGGAATCAGCTATACTTTCATAAAAAAAATAACAGACGTTTAACAAACTAAAGAAAAATTGCCAAAACTTACTAAAATATCGTGTCCCAGTTTTTATTTGGTTTACTGTATGTGTATCTCGGTAACCGATTTATCAATTTGTACCAAACCCTGTGCAATTATTGACCTTGGTATAAAAAGCTGTGTTGAAAAATCGGACTAAAATTACGCCCACTTTCCACTTCAAAAAAAGCATAATAAACGTTAAAACGTTGCTTTAAAACTTTGCACCATGTTGAGCTTTGTATTCTAGCAGCGGAAGAACGGACGTATAGATAGACATGGCCTAATTGGCTTGTGCGTTTTAGTGGTATATGTATATATGTAATTCCTTTGGGCCGAATATTTATCTTAAGACCTATCAATTGAACAATTATTTTTTTTTGGAAAGCATTTTTTTTTTAACATTAATAATTAGATAATAACTCAAAATAAAAAGGAACAGTCCAGCGCCTTCGTCTGCAGGCTGTATCGAAGACACAGCCGCTAAATTCAAACGTAGCATACGTGGTATGGTTAAGAGCACATCCAAGTAAAAAACGAAGGCACACACTAAGAAAAAAATATTGACAACAAAAGCGATAATAATATCGATAGCAAAATCGATAAAAAATCGATGAATATATCGAAATCAAAATCGATAATAATATCGATAGCAACATCGATAAAAAATATCGACAACTAAATAGGTAAAAGTATCGATACCAAAATCGATTAAAATATTGATGACAAATCCGGTAAAAAATATAGTTTGTTATATCAATAAGTTCCGAAAATGTCGATACCAAAATCAATAACAATATCGATAACAAAACCTATAAAAATATCGATAACAAACTCGATTAAAATATCGATCATTATATCGATAAGTTCCGAAAATATCGATAGCAAAATCAATAACAATATTGATGAAAATTTGGATAACAACATCGATAAAAATATCGGTTATTATATCGATAAGTCCCGAGAATTCCGAAAATCTCAAAAATCGCGAAATAGTCCCCAGATTGAATCTCTGTCTATATCATTTTCACTATGTATAACTACCTTTATTTTCATTTTTCTCCCTCTATTTTAATCTTTAATTTTATCGGTATACTCATCCTCATATTTTTCTTTACATTTATCTTTGTTTTTACTCTTAGGTTTATCGTATTCTTCATCTACATATTCCTCCTCACCTTCGTCTTTTATAAATATTCAAATGCCGAAATACCTATACACACATACTTTGTGTCTCCTTCTCTCACTTATAGCGCATTCACGTGTTTGCGAAATGATTTTGTATGAAAAATTATTTATGTCCATATATTTTAATGTAATAAACATACTTAGAAGATATCAGTCAACACTTCTTATATACCAAATGGAAGGAAATTCTTGAATTTTTGATTAAATAAAACAAAAACAAAAAAAATCATTCGAGCGGTCTAGGAGAATTTCGGAAATAAAAAAAAATGTTAATTTTTTCAAAAAATTTTTTGCCTTAGAGTGTTCAATGTTTGGTAAATTTATATAAAAGCTGTACATGGTAATATTTCTACTACTCCAAAGAATCTATATCCCGAAAATGAAAGTTATATCTGCAAATCATAAGTTGCTAGAGCACTTTAAAGGCTCAAAATTGACCCAAAAAACCGATATTTACCGTTGTTTCTACGACAGACACCGAATCGGTTACTTACAGAAATCTAACTGTCGATAGGTTTGGAATTTTTTCTTTAAAACGCCATACTCCCCTTTAAAATCGCTTCACTAGTTCTCGTGGAATAAGCATTTTCGTGAAGCTCTAAAAATTACAACTACATTTGAGCATAGCTTCCATATCGAAACGCAAGACGTATTCTACGTCAAAATGAAAAATAAAATCAACCGTTTTTTTTTTTGAAAATCGTACCGTGAAGTCGAACCGAAATATCAAAGCTAACCAAAATCGCACGCGTCGATACAAACTCTGACCACCAACGCTTACGAGCGACTGCCCGCGGGGAAGAGAGAAGCACGCTTATACACTTTTGGAATTCTCAAAATGTCTGCCAGACCACACGTCGGTAGGGTTTGTGGCTGGTTTAGATTTTTGATTTTTGATCTCAACTATTTAAAACGCACTTTAAGTTGGTTATATCATAGCCAGTGGTGGGCACTACCAAAAACAAGCGTGAGCTAAAAGTGAGAATGTGTTAGGTACGGTGCACATTAGAGCGATACGATATGCGATACGACACGCTATGCGATATAAAATGCGCGCAGTGCACCGCTCTAATGTGCACCGTGCCTTAGTGTATCCAATTCATTTTGCATGCTGTCGCGTTGCCATCATTACGCTCTTGCTTGTATACATACACGCGATGTTAACGCTCTTTTAGCACCTGCTAAGTCTCTGCCCATGCCTGGTCATGGCTAATTAAAAGTGAGTTAGTTATCGAAATTCCGCAAAAAATCTAACTACATCTAGTGTGTCCGAATAAACAAGATTTTTCAAACGATCTTGTCTAGAGTCTTTCAATTGTCTTACAAAATACTTTCAACTATCTAATTCACAATTTCCCTGAAGTCACTAATTTATAACTGAGTACTAAATCTCTTAGTACATACTACATACATATCAACCGTACCTTGGAAAAAACCTGGTATCTCAAAACACTCTCAGACAACACACTCTAGCAGAAAAAAAGAGAAACTAGTTATAATAACTTTTTAATGAACATTAAAGATTGAGTACTTTTTAGTTATTTTGAATTAACTTTGCGAGATATGAAGTAGTAGGTAGTGATTTCTGAGATACGAGGTTTTACCAAAGTACCGTCGATATATTCTGTGAGGTTGATATGTCTTGCAACTTACTGAGGTTCTAGTAATTACACCAATTACAACATTAACAAATACAAGCAAAAATGACAAAAAAAAGGACGAGAAGACGGAAGTATTTATAAAAAGCAAAAATTTATATATTTATACTTGAACTGTCCATTACTCCATTACTATTGTAGCAATAAATACACAAGTGATTTTGGAAGTATTAGTTTTCCAGTTGTTTTGCAATAACCAAGAACAAATTTTAAAAATCTACGTATTATTAATTACACATACACAGCCTAAAGACGCACACTACAAACGAGATTTATAGTTATAACTTTAAGATAAGTGTTAAGTCTTAAATATAATCAGCTGAAATATATTTCACGTAAGCCATGCCAAATAACTCTTTTCAGCTTTTCTACTAAAGAGGCCGCCACCCACGCCATTGTTGGCGTACACAATACGGAAATCAATCAACAGCCTGTGAAGTGCGCGTGGGGCAAAGAGAGTGGCGACCCCAATCACATGTCAGCCATCGCCGGGCAAGCACTAAGCCCTGGCTTCCCATTTGGCACAGCAGCAGCGGCGGCTGCAGCAGCAGCATATGGGCAACAAGTGGCCGGCTATTGGTATCCACCGGCACCCACATATCCCACAGCAGCGCCCACACCCGCCAACGCACTGCAACCGGGACAATTTTTGCAAGGCATGCAAGGATTTACGACATACGGGCAATTTGCTGGCTACCAGCAAGGATATATGGGGTAATGGAAGAAAATGGAGAAAATATTTTATGAAATGGAGAAAAGCATTGCAAGTGATAGGATAGTTGGCTATAGCAATTTAAAAATAGAATAATGGTGCATGACACAAAATAAAATATAATTGCAATTAAAAAAGATAACGATACATATGAACATACATATATGTGTGTATATTTAAAAGTAGATCTTTTGAAAGATCAAAAACGATTGAGCTATTAGGAATTTAATTAACAAAAAATGTTCATAAAAAAAATGTTGAATAAAAATTGCTTACCCATGCCGCAAGTATAATATGTTAGCTCCATAATATGTATGTATGTATCATTAAATTTAACCATTAAAAAAAAACAATTCTAAATATTTATGTGTAAATTCTAGATTACTAAATAAATAAATAAAATCCATATTTAACTCTAATTTGATAATTCTCTCTCCTCACTTTCACTTCGCATAGCATGGGCGTCCAAATTCCCGGTACTTGGCAGAGTGTGCCACCTCAAGCGCCGTTGGCAGGCGCCACCGCTCCACAAATTGCACAGAGCGTCAGCAGTGGTTTGCCACAGGCTGCCGGCGTTGTTGCCTATCCCATGCAACAATTTCAGGTTAGTCCACAGGTGAGTGTATCCGCAGATAGGTAAATAGCTATAGAAAAAGCTTTGAACATGAATAAAACTAGTGGTTAAAATGAGAAACGTAAGAGCATAAGCACAGAGATTTGGGATGGGTTAGTTCGATATGGGAAAATTCGATAAAAACTTTAACTCCAAAATAGCGGATATTTGAAATCGAATTCGGAAAAAATTGATTTTTGTCTTTATTTGCAAAAAAATCTGCTTTAATTAACCATAAAGAAAATTATTCAAATACTTTAGTTTTTGGTTAATCAAAATCTATAGAAACTGAACTTTTGAGTACTCATAATTTTCAATTACTTTATGAATATTTTTAAATAATCAAATAAACGGATAGCCCTTGTAGGCATGTAACATCAAGTATGCGCAAATTTCTTTTGTTTTTGCAAAGCAAGAAATATAGATAAAAGCACATTATACTTCTAATTTTGTTAATTTTTTTAATTGATACTTTAGTACTTAAAAAATACATGCTTTTTTCTGATATTTTTTTTTACGTCAAGGCAACTTTTATTTATTTTTAAACCAACTTCATAAAAAGGAGAAGGTTATCAATTCTTTGGAATATTTTTTGTTTTATGTACATATGTGCGTTACCGCATAACTTTGGACCACGTTAACCGATTTCTATAATAATTTTTTTTTTTTTAAGGAAAGGTGTTCCTCACAGGTGGTCCCGTACTAATTTGGATCATTCGATCATGAACAAATTAACGATAGTCTTAAATTTTTATATAAGAATTGAAGTCGGCTTACTTTTTTGCTAAAAAATTGCTTGTATAAACTTTGATTTCGTTTTTTCTTTTGTTTTAATTGTGAAAAAAAATACTTTTTATTCGAATTTTTTTTTGGTTTTTAAGCTAAAAAGAGCGAATTATTTAAACACATTAATTTAAGTTCAAATCAATCCCTTTTTCAATTTGAGTTATCATTCTACAAAAAAAACTTTTAAATTTTCCACAAAACAAACCTGTTGAAAATTAGAATAAGTCGATTTTATACCTCCGAATTACGAATCGAATAATCGAATAGTTGGGAAGTATACGAAATTCTGAACAAATGGAATTTCTACTCGGTTTTAAATCTATTAAATCGAAGACTGATTAACCGATTCCTTCCAATTTAATTTTTGTAGATTTTTTACTCCCGATTCGAATCGTGAATCGATAAAAAGAAATCTAGAATCGACATTCGGCTTTACCTTACTCAATGCATATTGATCTACGGATTAGTTGTTCTACTATCAAATTTTGAAGGGATGCCTCTTGAAAATAACTCTGTATAAATTTATGGGTAATGCTACATTCGAATTGTAGTATAGCAGAGTTGAAAGATGTTGGGATTTACCATTGATTTTTGGCAATTCCATTCTTGCCGCTCATGCACATTTTCTTCCCCATAAAAAAACAATTTCGATCAAAATGGCAAAATGCCAAAAATCAGCATCTTTAAACTTTGCTATTGGGCGCCATTAAAAAGTAGCGGTTAATTTTTAAGCAACACACATAATTTTTTCTATTTTCTGAAAAAAAATTAGAAAGTTATATAACTTTACTACAAGCTTTTATTCAACTCCATTTGTATGTACTTATGTATGTAAGTATGTAGTTCCTAGAATTTCGCGATCAATATTTCACCAACTTCCCCATGAGCTAGTGACTTGAGCCTTCAAACTTAGCACACAACCCGATGACAATGCAATATGAAAGATGAAATAGTCCGCTAGGTGACGCAGTAGTCGAGATATTTGGGTAACCCATATTTTTGATCCGACTTCGTCCAGCTTAGAAAGCTTGTCTTAAAAATAGATTAACTTATTCCTAAGTAGGGCTAAGAATTTATGAAGTCCCTGTTGAATATTCATATCGTTGTCTAGACATAGAGAAACCTTATCTCACTTTTTGCTTTTCCAAAAGTATGTTGAATTTTAAGCTAGCTGATAGTTTTTAGATAAATCTTGATTTTACGTTATTAACAATATAAGTTTTAAAAATTATTTTAAAATAGATTTTTATGATTTCGGTGTTAGTTAGATCGCAGAGTTTTTTTTTGTTTTTTTGTTTCTTTATAAAAATTAAATTAATGGCGTTATTTGACAAAATTTATTTTTAGACGATTTCTTCCCAAATCGATTATTTTTCTTTCGATTCGAATTGATTTAAAAATTTTTTATTTTTTTTTTATATAACGGTACGGCATCTGAATTATGCATACAATAGCACTGATCCAGATTAACTTTTTCATTCCGATTTATCTAGGAAATTAACTGCAGTTGATCCGGATTAAGTCCTGCAGTTAATTCTCAAAACTAATACGGATCAGGAGCATTTTCGACGGTAGGGCTCAGAATAGCTCCCCGCGATATAGGTAATTTTCAATAAATAAAATTTTGTGGTTTTTATTTTATATTTTCCATTTTATTTTTTTTTTAACTAGTACCTAAGAAAATTAAAAAAAAAAAATTGCTTGTCGTGGATTTGAGTCCCACGCTCCGTTAATCCGAATTGAAGTTTCTGTCTGTCTATGCTATAAGCAAATTTCCTTTTTAACGTTGGAAGTGAAGACTTTACAAGAACTTTTATGCGGCAAGTTCCTGCGATGGGCTAATTGTCACAACTAGTAGTCATAGCTGAAAGTGAAATATTAACAACTAAACACTTTAGCTCACTCGGTGCTGCTAAACTCCTTTAATCTCTCTGCCAATGCAAAACTGTTAGCCCACTCACCTTTGAACTGAATGCACACAAAAATGTTAAGTGGCAGCATGCTTGCGCTTTCAATTCGATTTCAATGCATTCTTTGTGCGAATGATGTTACCGCAAAGCAGAAGTGCATTGACAATAAGTGAGCCATATATATACGTACATATGTATGTTCGTGTGACATGCGATTCGTATTCAGTACCAAATACACGAGGATGAAGATTGACTTCAATGAAGCCTTTTGCTAGCCTGTTGACATTGTTGGGCTCAAAGGCTGTAAACATGTATCTAGAAGAGGTGCCAACTGATAGCCGACAAGAATCACAAATGATTTATCAAAAGTATACAATAAGAAGTTATGGATCACTATTTCGCATATCAACTTTATTTCGAAACTGCCAATTCAGCCGAAAAAGTGTTTGTGAAGATAAAGTTGCTTGAGCAGAGCATTTTTACGAGATCTCCGATTTTCTCTTCACTTCGGCATGTATTTTCATGGGGAAGTGGTCTGTGATAACTCCAGCAATGATTCTAAGTTGAGAGCGTTCGAAGAGAATGAGGGAGCTGGATCCATTGTTGTCGAGTTTTTGCTAGATTTGACGTTACACACCATTCACAAGTTTTCTGTTCCATCTTCCAATTGTCAGTTCAACAAAGTGAATTTTAGGCCACAGATTTCAGATTGTCAGTCCAAAGTAGCATTCGTTGGAGAGATATTTCCAGCCCTAAACACCAAAATAACGTAAGCGACACCATTCGCCAATTTTAGTCTTTGGCGAAGCATTATTTATAATTATGTGTTATGCAATTTTTTTATTTGAATAAAATTATTTAAACAGATTTGTGAAATGTAAACGAGCCCCCGGTATGTTGCATTTTTTATGGAAGTTGAGAAAAACTAAATTTCATTTATTTTTAATTTTCTTCCTATAAATCTCAGTAACCTAATATTTTAATTTCGCATTCCGAGAATTCGGGATTGAATGCCATAGAATGTATAAATGTATGAATACAATTCACATTCACCACTGCGTATGAGTAATATTTTATTTAATCCTAGTGTGACCGACCAAATTAGTTAGCGTTTTAGGCCAACCGGGGCACCTGCGTTTCCCCTTACGGATTTATATCTAAAAGTCGGCTGCAACTTGTATAATCCTGGGTATTAGCTATATAGATCCTTCGACTCCGCACCCATGGGTGGCCAACGAAAGCAAGGGCGCCCACTAATACAATGGAAGGACCAAGTGTAGAAGAACCTGTCTGCACTTAAGATGAATAGGTGGCGCAAATCTGCAAAGGAGAGAGGCAACTGGCGTAGTTTTTTGTTCTCGGTCCGAACCGGCAAAAGGTTGTAGTGCTAAATAAGAAGAATGTTAGATGTATACTGATTTACTTGTTGTTAGCGAAGATATTTTTATACAAATCCAACGATAGTATTATATACAAGGATCTTTGTAATATAATGTCCGGTATAATCTTTAATGAGCCAGATAATATATTTGTAAATTCCGAGATGGTCTGGTACATTAATCTGAAAAGGGAAGCAATGAGATGGTCTCTATTTTCCTTTATATCCGAGGAATATACCAAAAGATAGAAAGTAATATCAATAGTTTACTTAGAGCAGCCAAACGTATTGCCGTGCACCTCAGCGCGGTTTCTTTAAGAGAGCCGCTCGGCAATTTTTGTGTGTTTTTAGAAGATTTTTGTATACATTTTTTTAAACGTTGTATATAGGTAAAATAACCTTACGAATGTAAATAAGACTTAATACTTATTTGACCGTTTGCAAGTGTGCGATTTTTCATAATTGCTATTTTTTACACTTATTGCCAGAAAAGTAGAAAAATATTTGTTATTTTTGTAGACTACATTTTATTTTTATTATTATTTATATTAGCTCAATTTAACAAATGAACAATTGAAAAACAATATTATTAGTTATACCTTATTTAATTATAGTTACATTTTTCCGCCTATTTTGCATTTGGTTACCTGAGTACCCCGGTTGGACTAATCGTGTACAATTTTTTCAAATTCAAAATTTTCTGGACTGAAATGAAATATAAAATATTTTAAAAGCATTTCTCCATGTAAAATCAGTCAAATCGTGTCAATGGGTACCCGAGTAAACGATTGGGCCCACAAGGGTTAACAATCTTTCAAATCTCTTATTATTACCACGTTTGTATAGACTCGCTTTCTTCTTTATTTAGATTTTTTCTCTCTTCTCTCCACCACCCTAGCTGGCTGAAGATGAATGGCTTGCACCGAGCCTGCTTGTGTAGCTGCCATGATGGCCGGCATTTACAACAACTAATGGTGCACCAACAGCCGCCGCAGCTGCAGCAACAACATTATGTGCCTGCACAAAAGTCACTGTAGCACCGCCAATACAAGCACCTATGCCTGCAGCTATAGCCCCAACAGCAGCAGCGGCAACAACAACAACCACAGCTGCGGCGGCAACTATTTTGGCTGTACAGCCGTACAATGCAATGCATCAGCATCAACAACAGCAACAACAGCAACATCAGCAGCAGCAGCATCATACGCACTATCAGCAATGCGGTTTGCAGCAACAGTCGCAGCAACAACACTACCTAATACAACAACAACAAACAACGGCGTCACTGCAACAGCAGCAGCACCACCAGCATAATCATAGTCAGCTGCCGCAGCAGCAGCAACAACAACAACAATATTGGACTTTTCAGCAGGTAACAAACAACGATTACTCTCCACAGCATCAACAACAGCAACAACAACAACAAACTCACTTAGTTGACTTGTATAAGGAATGAAATGTCGGCATTATAAAGAAAATTTTAGTAACAGTGTACACAAAGGAAATGATCAGTCGAGCGAGCCATTATTTATACCAGAGATATGAAATTCCAGTCATGATGCAAGTTACTACATAGTTACTTAGTAAACTAACAACAATACATACGTACTTTTTATATTTACATACAGCCATACATACATACGTATGTTTACATATATGTACCTATATGTATGTACGTATGTTGATGTTGCTTGCTTGTATACTGATACTATATACTTTCGTCTGAATTTATGCGATTTTAATTGAAAACGTCAAAGGTTATACATATATCAAAGAAGTGTTGGCAGTTAGTTAAAAATGAATAGTAATGTTGAAATTTAGAAAGCAGCTGTTGCTAAATATAATTCTAAGTGAATAGCTATTAGGTCCATATAAAAAAAATTGGTTTAGATACAGAGTACACGCCCATACATATTCACCAAACATCATAATGGCGGCTAAGTTATACCAAACTGATCATTGAACTAAAAAAAAGAGTTGCAAGGTTTTTTAAGAACTGGTTAAGAGTTATGCCATATTTTTTAGTTATAAATTATTTTTGTTCAGTAAGTATCTATCCTGAACCATCAAACCATTCTATGTCGCATTTTTAATATTTTGAGGCACGACGTTCATGAAAAAACGTGTAAAATGAACATTAAGCAGCATTTACATGAGGCGATTTTATAAGTGATTCAACATCGCCTGAGAAGTTGCCTGAGAAGTTTTTTTACACACGTGCATTCATGTACACGGGCGACAAAAGTTGAATGAGTTCGAATGTCAACGTTTACTTTTTAAAATTTTGCTAATATATATTTAATATGAATAGAAGAAAAATATTAAAACTTAGCACCAACATAATTGCTGAAGAAATTAAAAAAAGTTTTAATCCATGAACTACGCAAGGAAGAGGTAAAGAGGAAACGTACAGTATGTGTAAGGAAATGAGTTCGTCAGCGTGAAGTTTTGGGTGCCTCTGATAATTTGTACAAGGAGCTTGCCCCAGACGACACGAAAAACCTTCAGCAGCGTTTAAGAATGACCACTAGAGTTGTCAAACTATCGATGGCACTATCGATAGTATCGATAGTTTCAATTTTTTTAGACTATCAATACTCATTGATAGTTTTTTCTTATACTATCAAAAATATCGATAGTTTAGTAAGACTATCGAACTATTGTTGGTAATACCTGAATTTTTTTTATTTGAATTAAAAATTTTTTTTTTTAGTGTGATGCCGACGTCATATTCAAATATGCACGCATTTAGGCCAAAATACATACATATGTTAATCGTAAATCCTGTTTTGTTTGTATAACTTGTGTTTGTTTTTGAACTTTCTAAAAAGAGAAGTATTTTGGCTAAGCAGTTACTTAATTTTGAATTATTATAACTTTTATAAGATAATATTTATTTCACTATCATCCTGTAAAAGCAAAGCAACCTAACTGATTTAGCGCTATCGATTGCGCTATCGATAGTGCTATCGATAGTTTTGTTTTTTTCGAGACTATCGTGAATATTGATAGTTTTTCTGAAAACTATCAAAACTATCGATGGTGGGACTATCGATAGTTTGACACCTCTAATGACCACCGTACAGTTCAATTTTCTTCTCCAAAAATGTGCACCTTTAATAAAAAAAAAAACTGGATACAAATATGCGTGCGGTGCTCTCACCAATAATTAAATTGCAAGTTACTTTAAAATTTTTGGCAAGTGGTCACAATTAATAGTTTACTCTAATGCACTATGTTAAATTAGTTCACCTACATAGGCTTCAAAGTAATTGCAAGGCTCCAACTCTGCCTCTATAACATATTAAAAGCTCAGTTAGTCTAGGCTTACTTTCTGTAACTTAACTTAAATTAATATTTTGGCCAACCTGTTAGATATATGAGGAACTGTGTTAAAACTTAACTTACCGTAAGAAACTTAAGAACCTGTAGATTTTAGGTTCTTAAGTTACGGCCTTATGGCACTTGAGAGCGGTGAGAGAATCAGGCTTGCCAGACTCTCGTTTTTGTATTTCTTAAAAATAACTGAAAGCAAACATTTTTGTTTGCCTGCAATTTTTTGATGTCTCATTTTAGGCGGCGAACTGTTAAACAGCTGAAAAAGCAAATACAAAAACAAAATATTTCCGCTCCTGTCGTAAGTTGACGTGTTGAGTAATCATTGATGATTTCTTACGGTAAGTTAAATTAAGTGAAGTCTAGACTCGCTTAGCTCTAAACACAGAGTTGTATTCACGCGTTTCCGCCAATTTCTTTGAAGTTGTGAAAATATTTTTGCGACAACTGAGGTTTATATATATTTGAGGCTGCTATTTTGCCATGAAACATTAAGTCACAAATTCAATTCAAGAGCTCCCTGACTTAACGAATTACCCTTGTACTTTTTCTTGTTTTACTTACTTTGCCATATCTTTAACTTTTCATAATTTGTATCAAAATTTTCATTTCTTAAATTAAAAACAAAGAATCTTACTTAGCTGCTATTTACAGAGTACGCTTAAGTTAGAGTTCTTTAAAATTTATGTTTTCTACTGAAGAATGCCGAACATAGATAACCACCAAGTTATTTGGATTTTGCCTGGGGCTATAAGGGTTAAGTTATTATCCAGCTTTACTAGCAAATCGATTATTTATCATTTCTTTATTTATTTACATAAAGAAACTATAATGAGTGTGTCTTGCTTACATACATACAGGCCAAAGAAAAGAACGCGCGACGTAATTTTTGAATGAAAAAATAAACTAAAATCAAGTACACCATACATACATATTTATATACATACGTACTTTACTTGACCCACGTAAACCCAATATATATGTAGTATAAAACAACAGCAATACTTAAATATGTATACGCATTTATTGATAAAACATTAAAGTTAGTAAATAGCTTGAGTTGTTGAAGATTAACAAATAACACCAACAACAAAGTATACATACATACATAAATGTTGTAGCCACACAACCTAAATAATTGAAAAGTTCATGCCACATACGACTCGTATGCATATATAGGCCATTTTAAAAAGTATGTACTTGAAAAGTTCAGTAACTTTTATAGAGCTGCTCATTTAGTGATCAACTATTTCCAAACAGGTCCAAGACATTTTTATGTAACATCAAACGCTATACCTTAAATATTTCCAAATGCAGACAGACTACCAATTCTACACAGAAATGCATAGATATGTACGTATGTATGTTGTTACTTGTATACTAACCATGTAATATTATTTTTTATAGTAACTGTAAGAAATGTGTGTTAAGTAAATATATATTTACGCACACTTATACATAAATAATATATATATGTATTACATGTACACAATATGACTGTGAATAAAAACATATATACATACATATGCTTATAATTAATAGATTTTAAATTTTCAGTTAAGCGCTATTGAAAAATCAATTACATACATATATCTACCTATTAATTTTTGGCAGTCATACTGTCATATATACATGCGTGTGCATATAAAAAATATACTATACTGCGGTTTTTTTACATTTTGTTCTATTGGTTTGCATTATTTGCACAGAGAAAAAATTTGAACACGTGTGTACTCTATTTTTCCAAATGTAGTAGTATATAAGCCTTTCTTGGAAGAAAAGCAGAAATTTTCAATCGACAAAAGGAAATGCTCATTTTTAAATAATGGTGAGTGTGTTTCGAGAAAACAACCAAAACAAATGCAGCGAAAAGAAACAGGAATATTGAAAAAACAAACATGAAGAACCCAAAAAATCTAACAAGTAAAAGTGCTTAAAACAATAAGATAAAACATTATTGAAAAAACTCAACAAGCGGAGGTAACACAAAAAGAGCAATGACTTTACTTCAGAGTTTTTTGCGAAAGCCGATTTATATTTTTCCGTTCATGTTCATTTGGAAATTTCGCTTTTTATATTTTGCCACCATTTTAAATTACTTAAAAAAAACGGAAATCCAAATGATACTCAGCTGGAATAAAAGCTTGTTTTCTATTCACTACTTAAATGTAGCCTAACTGAATGCATACAAATATTTTGACGCTATACCTTCTTTTTTATACTACAGTTAGTTTTGAAATTACCTGTTTTCCCATAGAAAAAAACTTAACATTTTTGCGTATATATATCCAAGCCGTAAGTAACCTTAGATCACATGAGTTCGAGCGCACTCACTTTTCTCCTCGAGGCTTACATCCAAACCGCAATCGGTCTTAATATTTTGGGCGTTTGTTTTCCTCCACGTCGCTGTGTAAGAATTGTCGCACACGAGCCGAAGCCATACATTTTGGAGGATGCAATTTTTGGAGCTTCGGATTTACGAATCATCACTAGCAGTGGCTATTATCGCCTTCTGCAGCAGTGTTAAGGTGAAATTAGTCACGAACGCAGAACTTGTACTTAAACGCATTCTGTATACGCAGAAATTTGTCGATTACTGGAGCCCTCAGTGTTGCTTACTACAGTGTTGCCACTCATCAATGCCTTTTCATAAACGTACCTTTTCAACTACCATTTTTCGTACTATAATAGATGCTAGCTAAATATAAACTACTTATTTTTCTACAAAAAACCTTTTTCGGTAGTAAATTTCCAAATATTTTAAACGTACTTTGAATAGGAACTTATAACTTTTTTACCATCTGCAAAACTGACGAAGTGGCAACCATCTACATATAGAAGGAAGAGACCAGCTGACACGGAAAAATCTAAGTTCCGCAGATTTCTGCGCTACGGGCTACACTTACCGAAAAATTCTGCGGTGTTGAGTTTTCATTTACATGGCGCTCTGGTAAGATAGATCGTATCAGCTGACTCGGGTTTACGTACCGGTAGGTTTACGTTCTTGACTAATTTCACCTTTAGCGGCTAATGGTTTGTTGACAGGGCCAAACGTTAAAAAATCTAACGCTACGCTCCTGACAATCCGGCTAAAAGTATTTTGCCTGTTATTTTATAGTA